AAGTTGAGCTATTATAACGTGCTGACAACTTAAATTCAAAGCAACTTATTAAGTTGAAATAATTTATTATCAGTTGATTCATATATTTGATGATTTTTCCTTTTTTTTTGTTTAAGAGAGAGGTAGAAGCAGAACTCAATGACCCATATTTAATGAAGGATTGTCTAGGCTTGGGCTGGGCCCAACTGGTTACAGTTGTATACTAAAAACAACACTGCTTCGTTAACGTTTTTGCTAAGGAAAGTTCATTGCAAAACGTTTTTGCTCACAATACTGCTGCTTAGGAAACATCAATTTAGGTTAACTTATTTTTGAAGATAATTATTATTTCCAAAAAATTAATTATTTTTTATTATATATCTCGCCAATCCTTATACCTCACGCAGTGAAACAACAAACTGTTTGTATTTTGAATAATACTAAACACAATGAAATAAGTTTTATTAATTTTGCTTTTATTTTTATATAAACTTTAAAAGATATGTATGGTTTACCAAAAAAAATGTATGAAACAATTTTTCTCCTAGCTTAAAAAAAGAGGAATAATATAAATGATTATTTGTTTATTGAAATGTTAGTTGGTCAAATCATCGTATTCAAATAAGAACTGAATTTGATTTATCAAAAAATGATCTTATCAGCTTCACCAGTTCATTGAATTTTGAAAAGCAAGACAGCATACCAAATCCAAAAAAGGATACATCACCCAAGTCACACTCTATATTTTTTAACGAATGCATTAATGCACGCATTATTATAGTGTTGTTTTCTGGACCCAATATATCCAAACATGTATATCTAAACTTTCTTATATTCGATTTGCTAAATACCAAAATATACTATATTCTATGAGGTAGGATCATTTGATATTAGTGTCAAATTTAAAGTTTGACACCTCATCTGAGAGCTGTTAGATCAAAAAAGACCAACGACTCTGATTTGTAAGCATGTGACACCATTGATCTTTTTTGATCTAACGGCTCTCAGATGAGGTGTCAAACTTTAAATTTGACACTAATGTCAAAGGATCCTACCTTAATATTAAAGTTTAGGGTTAGATCAAAAAAGATCAATGGTGTCACATGCTTACAAATTAGAGTCGTTGATCTTTTTTTATCTAACGGCTCTCAGATGAAGTGTCATTGAGGTTGGATCCTTTGACATTAGTGTCAAATTTAAAGTTTGTAGATCAAAAAAGATCAATGGTGTTACATGCTTACAAATCAGAGTCGTTGGTCTTTTTTGATCTAACGACTCTCAGATGAAGTGTCATTGAGGTAGGATCCTTTGACATTAGCGTCAAATTTAAAGTTTGACACCTCATCTGAGAGCCGTTAGATAAAAAAAGATCAATGGTGTCACATGTTTACAAATCAGAGTCGTTGGTCTTTTTTGATCTAACAGCTCTCATATGAGGTGTGAAACTTATTTTGAACATTTCTACGTTCTAGATAAGATAAATTTGATTTTTTTTATTTTGTTTGTGAATAATAAAGTTGAAATTTGGAAGAAGGAAAAAAAACTGTAAAAATTACAAGCAATTTTAACTCCTAAGCCTAATAGAAAAATTGCTTGTTCATTTACACATAAAAAAAATTTAATGGAGTTTTTCGCTTACCAAAAAAAAAAAAAAAAAGACCAATAGGGTAAGACCATTAAGAAAAGGAAAAACAACATTGTTAAATCAATAATAGGTTAACGTATCTTTAACTTTTTATGCATTATTATTATTATTATATTTATTAGAGAATATTATTTCTTATATTATAGGAGATAATTTTATCTCTTATATAAATACATAAAAGTGTTTTAGACCTATATTTTTTTTTCTCTTATATTTATATAGACTCATATGAATTCAAAATATTTTTATATATACGTAAGAGATACAATTATTTTTTATAATATAAGAAATACTAATTGCTTATTATTATTTATTTTTTTGCTAAGATTGTGTATTATAGAATTTAACTAATACTGTTGAAATTAAAGGATAAATTCACCTTCATCCATCCTGTCTCGTCAATCCACTTATATATAAAAAATAATTTCTTTTAGACAATTTATATTATCTAAAGAAGAAGGATATTAAATGATGACTAAAAAACTATTAAAAGATTAATTATTAACTTTTATCATAAGAATGACACGTCAATCTATTCTATGGAGTGTTCAGTTTTGATCCGTAATTATATAGAATACGCTAAAAATAAATGGGCGAGTTTAAATTCTCAAACCAAGACGTAAAATGATTTTTTCGATAAATTAAACTCATCCAATAAAATACGACTCATTTTACTATTTATATCTAATTTGGGAAAGGAATTTTTAATTTCAATAAAAAAATAAAAAATTCTAACTTCCCATTTGAACACATTTAGGTACATAAAAATTAACTATTAAGATAAAGACTTTTTATTTTTATAAAGCATTGACTTTATATATAGTGGTGAAATAATCATTGACCCAAATGAAGCTTATCTGGGATGAGAAAAAAAGAGATAAGAAAATTTAATAAATAAAGTGGGTCCCATTGCTGATTCAGCGCCTAGTTGGATTCTCGAAAATCTGATCAGCTTCGAGGCACACAAACTGACAAATTCAGACACAGTACAGTGACATTTCAGATACAATCGAAGTAAATCATAGAAAAAGAAGGGAAGACTCTTTCTCATTTTAAATAAGAAAAAATTATATTATTTTGAGAGAGATATAGACACAGAAAATTTAAATTTTAAATTAAAAAAATAATTTATTTTCTCTCTCTTATGATTTCCGTTTTTTTGGTATCTATCTCTCTCCTAAAATGACATAGCTTACGTCATTTAAAATGACAAACACCATATCCGAAAAAGAATTAGATGCAGTTTGGCGAAAGAGAATTTTTTTTTCAGAAAATATAATTATTGGAGAAATGGTGAGAAAGTGATTTTTCTCAAAAAGTTAAAAAAAAAAATTATTTAGTAAGTTGAAATATTATCACAAAATTTTTGGTGTAAAATTGCTGCAAATTTGAGTTTGGTGGGAAAATCAAAATACCATTATAAAGATGGTATACCCAAGTGGACATTTTCTTTCGTTTTTAGAGAGTGTTTGGTGGAAGGAAAAAAAATTGTCCAAGAGAATGGGGTGAAAAAAATAATTTATCTATGTTTGATAAGAATAAAGTAAAAAAATGGTTGGTAAATTTTTTTTGATAGGTAACAATTTTACACATTATATCGATAGGAAACTTTACTGTGCAAGATATGGTAAAACAATTTGCCGATAGCCAATATAATTTTTCTTATGTTACCCAGTAGTAAATTTTGGCCTATCAAGCATTTTTTCATATCTTACCAGGCTATAAATTTTTTCCACCATGTTCCCGACAAATTTTTCTGACTGGTACAAAGAAATATCTCCTCTATCAAACGGCCCTTTACATTACAAAAATTTTTCCATCAATTTTTTTTTTCTAGGTAAATTTTCTATACTCCATACCAAATATGGTCATTTGTAAATCCCATCTACCATTTTCATTTATAAAAAAATCCATCTACCCAAAATCCTGTGCATTACAAAGTTTAAAACCCGAATAAACACTTCTACAAAGAGAAATATACTTTATACCGACATGGGTTGCGTTTTTTAAAAAATAAATTTTAATTAATATTCAACAACTATAAAACCACTGCTGTAAAATAAAGACAAATAAAAACATGAATATTTAGGGTATACAATGGTATTTTTTTTTAAAAACATAAATTCTAGATCGAATATTATAAAACTAAATAATGAAACTAAAAAAAAAATTATTTTAAATTATAGATTAAGAGATTATTCTAACTTAATTAATGATTTAAAATATAATTATGTTAAAACTTATTAAAACTATATATGATATTACTTAACTTAAATAGGATTATTCGAGTAACCCATGAATAATATAAAAACATAATTGACCTAAATTTCTAATTTTTTATTTAATATATAGTTTAATAAAGATAATATAATATAACTAGAGCAGACAGCTTAACAGCGATCTATGACTCAGTTTATATCAGGTTAGACTCACCTATTATATATAGTTAAATAAAACGGGCTCAAGTTAAAATAAATCATACGCTCTCTTTTACATGTTGTGCATGTGCTTATAAACTTAGAGACTGATCTATATTATATTATTTAGTTTAAATACATTATTATTTTAATTTTTCAAAAATAAAGTAATATTATTTTATTTAATTAATGTTTAATAACAAGCCTAGGTCAAAAGTTTTATTTTTTAAATGTAGATTAGACCATAATTGAAAATTAGACCTATACAAGACTAATAGACCAAGCTAGACTTAAAATATTTTACACATATATAACCTATTTAAGTTAAGGGCTTGATTACTGAGTGTTTAGATCCACTTTTTTTTTTTTTTTTCCAGCTAAAAGCTACGTATAAGTTAAAGCTCAAAAAAAGAGCTTAAAAAAAACTAAAATCTGTTTAGTAAAAAGAGCTTAAGGAAATTATTTCTCTCTCTATTTCATTTTAATAAAAAGCACACAATTTAAGAAAAATAGATAAGAGCTTAAAAAAAGCTTCTCCTAGAAACTTTTAGCTTTCACCTTTTTTCTTCGTTATAAAATAAAAAACTTTTTATTATAAGAGTTTTTCTCAAAACCTGTTTGGCCTAGCTTAACTTATACTTATAAGTAGTTTCTAACTTAAAAAAGAGAGGATCTAAACAGGCACCTAATCTCATATAACAGGATAGAAGCTCTCTTATACTATAGAGATAATCATCTGTGAAACTGAAACCCACCCACTTATAAAAAAAGAAAAAAAGATTCAGAAAAAAACTAGTCTTCTACAATATAAGAATATATTTCTCCACAGCTTGACCCAACTTATTTACTCCCCTAAATATAAATATCACACATTAGTAGGTGAAACTGGTAATTATGTAGAAAAAATTGGGTCCAATTATTAATTATCAGTATATATAAACCAAACCGAAAGAGAGAGACTATACAAAAACAACCTTCCTCGTTGAATGTGTAGACATTCACGCTCTCCGTGTCTTTCTGTCTGTCTGTAATAATCTCTCTCTTTCTCTCACTCAAATTCTTGTGTCCAAAAGGTATGTTCCGGAATCAGCATTTGGATATTTGGTACAACAATCCTTTGTTCATTGTTTGGTTTTTGTTTGGGATTCAAGTTTGATCAAATCTGCAATACATTTTCTCTGTTTGATTCTCCTATTGGATCTGGATTTGGTTGTGAAAAACCCACTTGAGTATTTGGGATATGGTTACTGGGATGTGTGTTTTTGGTACAATGATGAAGTGGGTGAGCATAAAGTTTGCTTTTTTATTTTTTATTTATATATTTTGGGGTGCCAGTTGCATTTGGAGGGAGCTTCTTGTTGCTTGGGCGGTGTTTGATTTTTTGTCTATAGATTTTTAGTTGACTTTTGTTATCGTGATTGCAATCACGTTGGGCTACTTTGTTGGAAGGATTGTCATGAATCCAATAAGATCATGTCCATTGGTTAGCTGCAAAAGCTGTTTGATGCATCCTTATCTGGAAAAGTGATATAAAGTCTTTTTGTTGTGTATCCTTATCTGTCCATTATAGATAAGGGGGAAATGAAATTGGAAAAATTAAATTTTGATTTTTACTTGAGGAATTTGAGTGCTTAATCTAGTTATATGGTTTTGGGAATGATTTAAGATAATGGTGCAGGCCAGGAAGGTCTGAGAAGCCCTTCAGTTTTCCCTTGGTATGCTTTGAGCAGCCTTATTTAATTTTAAACCAGAATCTAAGGCCATTTATGATATGAGAATTATCAGTCCCGGAATTGTTGTTGCATAATATCTTAATCTGCAATGATTCTGGAAGGTGAAGAAACAGCATGCTGCTTTAGGTTGATTTATTTAATCCAAGGTCTGGATCTGCAATAAAAATATTCCTAGTCTTCCATCAGAAATGAGCAACGACCAAAAGTACCAAAGGGTAAAATGGTTGACTTGACCAAAACACCAAATTAAACACATTTTCAAGCTATTATTTATAACTTTATATGAATGCTATTAGGTGGTGGCATGTGGCAACCTGTATAAACTCACCCTATACATATTTAATACGTTTATTGACTATTCTCGAATATTTATTTGTATTTTATTTCTCTATCTATGATTTTTAACCACTAGTTTCCCAGGTCTTTGCCAATGGATGCTAAATCTGCTGTAGATCTAATGGAGTCTTCCTCTGAGGTTCATTTTTCTGGATTTCACATGGATGGTTTTGAGCAAAGAAAGGCTAGCACAGAACAACCGACAACATCAGATACTGAAATGTATAAACAACCTTTTGTCATAGGTGCGTTTTAGCATGGCAAGCTACCAAAGTAGTAATAAAGTCACAAACTATCTATTTTTAAGTCCTGGAACTCAGTGGTGGTGGACTTACTTTGCTTTGTGTTTCTTGGGTTTTATGAGTGAAAGGTGCCAAGTATATTATCTTGATGGTTTTGCTGCTAGGAATTAAGAGGTGCTAGATTCCATAAGTGGATTGAGTTGTGTTCTGTTGTGCCAGAGAAAATGTCACTGGAACTGTTCTTTGTCACTTTTGAATGTAGTTTACATGAGCCATTAAATTGTCTTGCAGAAAAGATGAATAAAATTACTGTTGAAAGCATCAGACATTAACAGAATATTGTTTTTGTTAATCACAGTTATGTTGCTTGAGTTATTACAAATTAACATAAATTTAAATTACTTAGCATTTTAACACGGGTATGAGTTCTAGCTTCATAGTATAATTTAACCTAATATTGCCGCTGCACGTAATTGGTATGACTTGCAAATTCTGTCAACATGTATATCATCTTATGTTTGTAAAGTAGAGTTTCCTGCACAATTACCATATATCATGAGATCCTAACTTTGGATGCATTGTTTTCAATGATTACAACTTTTCTTTTATCTTTATGATTCTAATTTATTTATTTATTTTTGTTTTATTTTGCAGGTGTTGCTGGGGGTGCAGCATCTGGAAAGACAACAGTTTGTGATAAGATTATTCAGCAGCTTCATGATCAACGGGTTGTACTTGTTAATCAGGTAATGAATTCTTCCTACTTATTCTTATTGGTGGTCAAATTGCGAATATGGTAAGATTTATTGTTTGTGAATTGTGACTCAAAACGATCATTGAGGGCAAACTATCAATCGGTTAGTGCTACAGGCCTCATAAGCATCCTTTTCTCTCCATTTTCCGAATCCCCTTGGGGTTTCATTCTCACTTTATTTTCTTTATGATATTAAGAATTTATGGAATAATTCTAACATCTTTCTATTTGTAATTTTATTGTAAAATAGACACCATTTATAACTCCATAATACATCACCCTCGGTTTATTTGATTAGTTTTAGTATTCTGCCAAGCTTCTTCCTAACCTCCTCTTCTTTTAAGAACATGGATGTACCTCTCTTTTTTCTCAAATTTCCCCTCAAAATGTTATAATACGAGGATATTATACACCACTATTTGGGTAATATAATAAAAAATTACTCGATGTCTTTTCTTTGTCATTCATTGTCTTCTTTTACATTTTTTTCCTTTATTTTTTACTTCTATTAATTGTTCCTTTCTTCCTTTTGTCTCATTTTTTTTCTTTTTTGGAGATGTGCTTTGAAAATTGCGCTAAATGTTCCTTATTGTGCTTATATTGATACATTGGACTTAATAAATGAACTACTTGTTTTATGACAGGATTCTTTTTATAATAACTTGACTGAGGAGGAACTTAAAAGAGTACAGGATTACAACTTTGACCATCCTGGTCAGTACAATCATACTTCTTTGTCTGTCATTATTCGTGACTTTTTCTTCATATTAATATATTATAAAGAATGAAATATTCTATGGCTTTATTGCCATTTTTTTTTTTTTTTTTTTTTAATATTTCCTCTTTCTTTAGTTCTATTTATTGAACAGTATTTGAAATTCTGGTTTTACTAAAATGCATTTTGAGGATGAGGTTCCAAAGCCTTAAATAATTATCGTGTTTTAGTCATTCCACAGACAAATTACAAACTCATAAGCTAGGAAATAATAATGCTCCTAAAAATTGAAAGGGTATCTGGATAAGGAAAATATATCACATTTTAATTTTCTTAATGAATATGTGAATGTTCTTACACTTCTGTTTTGATGTATCATCAGATGCTTTTGATACTGAGCAATTGCTCGATGTTATGGACAAGTTGAAGTGTGGCGAATCAGTAGATATTCCGAAGTATGATTTTAAGAGTTACAAGAGTCATGTGTTAAGAAGGGTATACCTCTGGAACTTCCATTTTTTACTTGCAGTTTTACCCCCTCTTTCTTTAAAATGCTTAACAGCTTAAGATGAAATTTTATTTTGAAGTTGTGAATATCATGCAAAAGAATACCTTTCTTTTTTATTACATATACAAGTATATAATATATTTGGCATGTTAATCCAAATGCATATTTTAGACTTGGTTTTTCTATCATTCCATTTTATGTTGCTTTAATGTGTTTTTTAGGTAAACCCTTCAGATGTTATAATTTTGGAAGGCATCCTCGTTTTCCATGATCCACGTGTTCGGGGGTTGATGAATATGAAGATATTTGTTGACACAGGTCCTTTATTATTGTTGTTCCACCTTTATCTCTTATAATTTATTTTAATGTATGTTTTTCATAGCATTTGTTAATTTATATGGGATTGGTTTTCCTCTCATAATCCATATTGTGATTTAGGAAAATTCATATGCTCTACATTGTTCCATATTATTTAAGAAAATTATTTTTTTGGGTGGTGGGTACTACGAGTCTATCACACTTTGTCCTTATATCTTAATGTTTGTTTAGTTTTTCATTTATTTGTTGGTTCTTTATTACTTTATTAAATTGTTGCCTGTGTGTAACTTGTAGTTACTTTATAAGCCTGTATATTTTATGTGTTGTTGAAATACTAAGTTAAGCTGTCACTTTACATCTTAAAATGTTCAGTGCAGATGCTGATGTTCGTTTGGCAAGAAGGATTAGGCGTGATACTGCTGAGAAGGGTCGGGACATTGCAGCAGTTCTTGATCAGGTAGCAACTTTCTGCCACACCATTTGTGCTGCCTTTACCATATTTTGATTATCTCTTGCTTCTTTTTCACATGGATTACATACTTCTTTGCAAGACTTGGAAAATCTTTTTAGTTTCATGCTTGATTGGCTACTATGCAAATTCCTTAATAGTGAAACTTGTGATTATTCAGTTTTTGTGGAATTAAATCATTGAGTAATGAGGATTTGCTTCTAATAATATTGGTCAAGCTGGCAAACATATTCTCTATCAGATTTTGATGGTTAGTTCCTTCAATTTAATGGATTTTGGCAGCTGATTCTTATATGTTATATCTGTTGCAGTATTCAAAATTTGTGAAGCCAGCTTTTGATGACTTTATTCTTCCAACAAAGAAGTATGCTGATATAATTATACCCCGTGGAGGAGATAATCATGTGGCCATTGATTTGATTGTTCAGCATATCCGCACTAAGCTTGGTCAGCATGACCTGTGTAAAATATATCCAAATTTATACGTCATTCATTCAACTTTTCAGGTACCCTTTTCTTGCAATTTATTGACCTTTTCAGTCATCAACCTAGAGCTCCAAACTTTGTTAGGTTGAAACATTATTGTCATTGCTGCCATGCAGATACGGGGTATGCATACCCTGATACGTGATGCACAGACAACAAAGCATGATTTTGTATTTTATTCTGATCGTTTGATTCGTTTGGTAAGTTAAAAGGGTTCGTTTGTTGCTTTCTTAGTTTAGTGTGACATGGCATTTTCTTTAATAATTAATGATCATAATTCCTTCACTTGATCAGGTTGTAGAACATGGCTTGGGGCATCTGCCATTTACAGAGAAGCAAGTAGTCACCCCCACTGGTAACCTTTTCTTTTTCAATATTAGCATTGTAAGATTACTGTGATGATCACGTCCTATTTTTTATCCTTGCAGCTAAAGGTTTTAGCTGAATATGCTGAATACCTTGGTGTTCTATTTGACTTTTCAAATGCTTCCTTCTCCTCCTTTCGCTGCCTAGTGCCATAGATAATGTGTATATTGGGGTATCTGGTTTCTTATGTGCAGTCATATTGTTGCCACAAATTTGGGGAGCACAAGAACTACATGTCCTAAGCCATGTTCTACAAAAGTCCATGGTTATAGTTTTAGTTTGTTTTCTTTTTTGGTGTTAAATTTCCATTAACCTATATCTTAGACCTTCTTGTCATCGTAGAGCTTCTACTATTACCAAATGAAATTAATTTAATACTATCAGCATACTTGTATGCCAACCCGGACTACTTTAGCATATAGTTGATGTTGATTGTCAGCTTTCTTATATGCTCCCAATGTTTTATTTTCATGCCTCCTCCGGGCGATATGAAATCATGCCATGCTGGCATGATATTCGACGGGAATCCATGTTGAAAGAAAACTACAAATAACTGTTACATTTTGATTTCCATGTCAAGGAACTTTTCTTGATAGATTGGGAACCAAATGTTTATCATGTTACAGTACTTGATGGAGACGTGCTCTGTTTTCCATGATGGTAACTGCAGCAATTACTATGCTGAACTTAAAGCTTTAGTATCTGTCTCAATGTGGTTGTCATTCTTGTTCTTCAATTTACAAAATAGTGTTCGTTTGTTTCATGTTTATACCTTTTTATGGTAACTGTTAATTCTTGTCCTCAAATGCAGGTTCTGTATACACCGGTGTGGATTTTTGTAAGAGGTTGTGTGGTGTCTCTGTCATCAGGAGGTATTAGTCTAGTCAAAAGTTGGATTCACTTGGGCATTTCATTAAACATTTTCATCCTTGCTTCCAATTATTGACTTAAATATCTTCTCTCAATGATCTTGAATAATTCAATAAATATAGATTATATCTTTATGTTGATTTGGGTTTAGAAGTACCAAATTCATTCGATTGCATGTGGTGGCATTTCTTCACCTTGAAATTGTAACCCAAATCTACCCCTCCTAGGTTTGATGTGAATTTATATCTCTGCGGTTATTAGTTTATTGTTTAGAAAAGCTCTTTCTGTCATTATATTCAGTATATGCTAATTTCAGTGGGGAGAGTATGGAGAATGCTTTACGAGCATGCTGTAAAGGTATCAAGATTGGGAAAATTCTAATTCACAGAGAAGGTGACAATGGTCAACAGGTTTGTCCATCCACATGTATGCTTTGGTACATTATGTTTTTCATTTTTTCATCACTGACTTCTTATACTTTGATCAATGAGCAGCTAATATATGAAAAGTTGCCAAATGATATCTCAGATAGGCATGTCTTACTGTTGGACCCTATCCTTGGCACAGGTTTGTCATTCCTGTGTTTTCTTACACAGTAGTTAGCATAATAAGTGAGGGCAGGTTATTCTTACACCAGTGTAAGAATAAGAAGTTTTATATCAAATCTTGGTTATTGATTTGCTTGCATCTAACCATTTACATATTTAATAAATCAGAGTCGTTAAATATAAATAGGATCAATGATCAAAATTATGAGTGTAATTTATACCGGCATAAAAGGATCCTGACCCTAATAAGAGTGGATTGAAAATTTTGATATTTGATTTGCTGGTTTTCATTTGGATTAACCTTTAGAAAATTTTCATCTTTAGGTAATTCGGCTGTTCAAGCAATTTCTTTACTTATAAGAAAGGGTGTACCGGAGTCAAATATCATCTTTCTTAATCTCATATCTGTAAGTTACTGATGCCTTAGTTCCTCTATTTCTCTTGCCCTTTTCCTTTGCATTGTGATTATTTTTCTCTTGCTTCTTCCTTTTTCTGATGTGCCCTTTTGATGATTTACATTTATCTTATCATCTTTTCAGGCACCTAAAGGTGTGCATGTGGTCTGCAAATGTTTTCCAAGAATAAAAATAGTGACATCTGAGATTGAGATTGGTTTGAATGAAGATTTCCGTGTCATACCAGGCATGGGAGAGTTTGGAGATAGGTACTTTGGAACAGATGATGATAATGAGCAAGTGGTGGTTCCTTCACAGTAGTTATAATTGGGACAAATCCACAAAATTTTAAGGTTGATCATCAGTACTAGTGAGAGATTTCCTCTGAAAAATGGGTTGAAATTTGCTCAAACATTATTGTGCTGGGGTCTCTGAATTTTAGTTATAAATCAATTTTGACTCTGTTGGACCTTGGATCATCATTTCATTATACTTATGTTTTTGTTTACAAAAAGACGTATTGTGGAAATACTGCAATGAAAATTTCATCCTTATTATACATATTCATTGTAGAATTTTTCTTTGAACTTGTGTTGGTTTCTTTTCTAGAATTTCATCTTGACAAAAAGCCTCTTCACTATGTCCTTCTTGAAGAAACTCTTCTCTAGCCCAAACGTAACAGTAAAAATTTGAAACAAAACCAGAGGCTAGATTTTGCTGTGGATGTCTTAATTGACTTATTTTTATGTGCATAATTATTTGATAAAGAAATGAAATTTTGGGTGGAAGATTAACATTCTCTTCGAACAAATTAACAAACCAAACATGTGGTAAGTCTCATCAGAAGGTAAAAGGTAACAATCTAGTTAAAATTTATTGGCATATCCAATATTTGAAGTGAAGTTGATAACCCTTAAATATGAGAGTAACACATTCAATAGTTGAATATGTGGATTAACACATAGAATGCACGGATGAACCTATAAAAGCCGGATCCAATACAGGCTTGCAATATGTACAAATTAGCACACTTTAGTATATTTGTGAAAAAATATTTATACGGCACTTCATGATTACTTATTTTAATTTTTTTTGGACGGAGTTAATTCTAGTTTTTTGTATGTATCTTATTTACTTCATGTACTTATATGAATTTTTTTTTGAAAAAATTGGATTTAGAAACTTAGAATGTTATACAAATTGTACTTTTTTTCTAATATGATACTTGTTTATTTATTTATTTGTATAGTATATCTTTTTATACTTAATAGTGTGTTTAAAATATTGTTTGATCATGTATTCGATCATTCTCAATATTATTTTCGGAAGAAATTTAAAGCTTTAATCCTGAGCTTGCCCCAAACTCCGGATTAGTCCATAGAAAATCTATGAAATTACTGGGAGATAATCTCCAAAATAAATGAATAAATAATATTGTTCAGTTGTAGAAGATTCGGTAATGGTAGAAACTAGAAAGCATGTGAAAAAAGAAACTGAAAGGGGTACTAATGGTTATCCAGGAAATGGACTGGGCTAATGACACAATCTTGCATATGATCAGAAAATATACATTAAAATGAAAAAAACATTACAGAGCTTGTGCCGCAAAATCATTTTAAAAAAAAAAAGGAAAAAGAGAAAAACACACAAAAAAAGAAGAAGGAAAAATGCTACATGATATAAGTTTTTTCTTCTACACACCCTTTGATAACTATGTCATTTTTTTATTTTTATTTTTCAGATAGTCCTCACTTCAAATAATTCATATAATATAAGCCGTAATAAGTGGAGGCAACCAAAGCATTATTATGGTGGGTCACTAGTAGCAGAAGGATATTCCACTAAACCTATGCTCATATGCTATCTGTGACTAAATTAACGAGTTTATGCTTTAAAGGTTCACCATAACAAATTATGCACATATATTATACTTAATGCCACATGAATATTTGCAAAGTCTTTTTTCTCATCATAAACACTAAACAACTAAAAAAAAAAAAGTATGAAAAAGTTAAGCCAAAATTCTTGCTTTAGTGAGCCAGTAAGGAAATTACCAACCTCTTCAGGAAGAGACATTATTGAACTTGATATTAGCAGATGAAATGAAATCCACCCACAACATGTTTCTATCTACAAACAATTTTTTTTTTTTTTTTAAATTTACTTCTTAATCATCATTATTTTTTTTCATTTTCTTTTACACACTTGTATGGTATCACTACAAGCTATGAATCCAAAAACAGTGTAGAAAGAAGAAAACAAACATGAAGAAAATTCTATCCCTGCATCTTCATCTCTTTGTAATGCAATTCCTTGCTATTAAGATACCTTCTGGTGGAGCAGTCATCTCTATCTGGCATCTGCTATGCAGCAAGAAAGATAAATGTAGAAGCCCTATAGTTACTCTCACTTTAAATGTTCCTCTTATAGTGTAGTTGACCCTGTTACTCTCCACTTGCATTTTAAGTTTCACACCAAGATCTCTAGGCAAAAACACCAAGCTGGATATGAAGTGCAATGGTTGCAACCTACTTTCCCTTCTTCTTTGAGTAAATGACTGGATTGATTGTGTTGATATGATACTGTCTGAGAAGAAAAGCTCAACATCCAAAGACTCAAACTTCACATCAATTTTCCTGTTGGGGTTAGTCAAATTTGCAAGGAGAGTGAAGTCACCATTGAAGTATTCTGGTGAGTCAAAATACACTGCATTGAGGTTTGCATTGGGGATGTCAAATGTGGGGTTTCTTGGTTTGATGGCTAGGTAGATGGTTAAAGTTGCTACCCCAAAGAAGATTAGTGCAAGGCTGAATATGAGGCACAACACTGCACCAAACCATATGACTATGTTGGTCCTTTGAAATTGAGGTTGTCTTAATGTTGGGTTCCTCCTTGAATTTGTTGTAAGAGATTTTGGTGCATCTGATTCCAGAGAACATTGGTTTATGGGTTGTTTTGATGTGACAATTTGGTCAGAAGAGGTTGGCTTGATTTGCCTTGTGGTTGGGGGTGAGAGTGGAGGTGGAGGTGGAGGTGGAGGTGGGAGGGCAAGCATTTTTCACCAATGCTAGAAAAGTTCACTCAAATCAAGCAAAACAATGAGGAAGATATGGATGTGGAGATTAACATGAAGTTGTTTATTTGTTCTAAACGAAGTCATTGATTAAGGAAAGTGAAGAAGGGATAAAGAAGCTTTTGAATAATAGTGGGGACAATATGTTTTTCTAGGTATTGGCAAAAGGTACGACATGTGGAGCTAAAGTTGGGCAACATTGAGGTTTGTATTTTGAATGTTTATGGTATTGGTATGTGGTAATGTTTGAGAAAGTTGTAAAGAATGAGTTGAACATAGCCCACACATCCATTATTGCTCTTTACTTCAAGGTTGTACATTGTCCTCTCCATTCAATTAAGGGCATGTTTGGTGCATAGTATTGGATAAGGCCTGATAGTATAAGACCTGATAGTATAAGACCTGATTGTATAAGACCTGATTAAATTTTAATGCTATCCAGCGTTTGGTATGGTACTGTATAAGATAATATCTTCCAATATTTTAAAAATTAGTATATTAAAAAAAATTATTTTAATATATTAATATTGAAATGATATATTAGTTCTTGAAAATTGTACTTGTAAGCAATATTAATACATCAATCTCTTATCAGGTCTAATCCCTCCCCCTTAGGCCGGATTAAGTTATACATCATTTTGATGTATTAAGGGATTCTGCTGTATAAGCTTATACTATACGATGGTCACACCAAACAACTAAAAATGTCATAACGTATAGTATAAGCTTATACTATCAGGTCTTATACATTACACCAAACAGGCCCTAAGAGCTTGGATTAAGCAATTTGTCCTTTTTAACAGTGTTTTACCATGATATCAAAACTATGTGCATTGGATATTTATGCACTAAGGAAGCATGAAAGTAGACAAATAATCACATAGAACATGTTTATACAAGTTTAATATTATTCAAAATAGATAAATTATCACGTAACATAAAAACTTATATAACTATTTGACATAAATTAGCAAGAGATATTATTGATTAGTTTAACCTATTCAACTTATCTTTACATTAATTAGTTCAGCTTAAAGTGAGGCTGAGTATTAAACGTCCAAATTTCATTTAAAAATAATAAAATAAAGAACCAATCATGTTGGATAGTGACCCAATTTAGTACAAATTGTAATTCTAGAGATTTCGAAGTACAGTGTGTCAATCACAAGAATTCAACATGGGTAAGAAAAATTCTTTTCGGTAGAAGATATCTAAATATGATCACTTATGTCGTCAAAAAATTAAGATGGTCTCATTCTCTAATTTTTTTTTTTTTTTTTTTTAATTCAACATGAATTCAATTATGCTAATTAGTTCTCATTCTTCTATCAGAAAAGAAAAGATCCTTAACATAAAGTAGCTGTCTGGATTATAATGTTAGGGGAGAAAAATAAAAGCTTAATTTGTAGTAACCTGAATTAGGATTAAAATATAATAAGACTATAAATAATCCATTTTAAGTATTGATTTCCTTTGATCTAAAGCCCAATTCAACGAATAAAAGCACATTGAATTGGGTCCAATTTCGTTGGCCGGCCCGTCAAATAAGCTAATTTGGAACAAAACTTGATCAGAATTGAGTCATTGACATGTGTCGAAAAATTGTTGATTTAATTTGGCTTTTATGCAAGCTACGCGGTTCGCAGGCTAACTCCTTGATCCAAACTATTAAAATTTATAATTACATGAACTATTTATTGAATAAGATATAATTGAATAGAAATATAATAATTCTCTCGTATAGTTGCGAATTTAATTATGAATTAATGATTTTAATCATGATATTGAAGAATAATAATAATGAAAGTAGAAGAAAAAAAATAAAGTCACTTTTGATGAAAGAGGAGTTAAAATGACAGTTAAAGGGTAAAAATACGAATAAAAAAAGTCACTCAAAAAGTTAAAGTAAATATGAAAATATTATCACAAAAATATTGTAGTCCATTGGGTAAAGTTTGGTAATGCATAGAGGTGATTAGATAGATAAGTTATTATCCAATTAAATTTCACATAATCGTTAAATATATAAAAACTTTCGTATTCTTCGTCCACCACGCGATCGTCTCGACAGTGAGTAAGAGCAGCAAAAAAAAGGAAATTTTGAGAAAATCTTCAACATTTGATAACTTGAGCTAGGATTGATGAAATCAATCCATTCCAAAGCCTAAAGTGTGTCAAACTACATCCTTTACAAAATCCATACTTAGTTTTAGTTGAGAGTCATTATATTGAGAGATTTCTGCATCTCTAGGTCACAATATTGTTCACAAAGAGAGGAAAATGATGTTTTTCTTGGCTTGAAGGCTTAGATTGTCTTTCTCTTGTGATTTGAAGCTTCTAAGGTAATGCCCTAACTCCCCTCTTGTGTTTTTGGAGAAAATGCATGATATATGGTTGTATAAATTGGGATTTGATGGTATGAGTAGTTGGAGGGTGATTTGTAAGTGAGTCCCTTTATTAAACATGCTTAAGATTGATTGCCGTAAAAGGAAAAATTATGAAATCGTCATTTATGACACTTTTATAAATTGGACTAAAAATCAAGTGTAGGTTTCTTCTATGTGTAGCCTTGAAAATTAAACGTGGTAGACTAGTATATAAGAATACTGATTGTCTTCACATCTTAGAACTAGGTTGTGACTTTGTGAGAGATCGTGACTCTGTGGACACGAGAATTATTGGAGGACATTGCTTGCCAGGTAAGCTTTCGATCCTTGTCCCCCGTTTGTTCCACCAAACTCCGAGGGAGGGTGGTAGTTTGATATGGTATGTTGAAAATGATTTGTTATATGTTGCATGTATATGTATATATGTTTGTGTGCCACACAAGACGATGTTTCCTTGTGTGAGGCATAAGACGGTGTTTCCTTATGCATAGTATGAGACAGTGTTTCCTCATACGGTATGTTGTAAGACGATATTTCCTTGCGTAATGCATACTTGTTATATTCTCTGGCCATTAGGATTATATTATTGCACACTGCATTGTTATACATATTCTAATGCATGCATGGATTTTTATACTGTGTCTATACCTGAAGTGAGCTTAGGGGTGAAGGAGCCCTCCAAGGGTCCCTAGCTTATTGAGATAATTATATTATCTCACCCTGCGTTATGGGGATCACCATTTCAGGTACAAGAGCTGATGGTGTTGAGGCATCGCGTGACAAGAGGCAAGATGAAAGATACTACTTGACATGATTGTCAGGGTCTTGTGGATATTAGATTTGTACCTGACGTACTTTATTTTGAGTTATATATGCCATGTATTTTTGAGATCATAGGAGATGTTTATGCCAGGTTGATAGTCTGTATATGCTATTAGTGATGCGTGCTCAGGTCTATGTTACTTATTTAATTGCATCTCTTTTGTTTATTTGGTGTAATTATATAAGTAATATCATAAACATTATTTTGAGACAGTATGATTATGAGATAGCCTAGGCCATGGATGGTTAGCCAATATGTTTTATCCATGCTGTGGTATATCTGGATTATATTAAACTGTCAATCAGGCTAAAATTATCATAGTGAGAATTATCCCTAGTGGTCCAAAATACAGACGAAATGCTATCCGTTTTACTTTGGCCATGGAAGTGAAAAAGTTTGCAATACATAAGGAAAAAAAGAAAATTTATTTATTTAGATTCCGCATTAATTAAGTTGAGCATGCTGCACTTACTATCATACGAATGTTAATTAACTGGCTGCAAACGGGGCGTTACAACAAATGTAATGAATTTTATAATGCCAACTTCTGCCTTTTGTTTACGGTTATAAATGCTGATAAATTTCAAGGAAAATTAGCCCTTCTTTGTCAATGGCTTTTTAGTTTAAGAAGCGGGGGTTCAATCCTCCCTCATCTTATTCTCCATCAATTTACTAGATCGTTAAAAAAAAAACAAAAAAAATAGTTTGAGGATGACAACAAAACCAGGTAACTTAAGGATGCACTGCATAATTTTTGAAATATCCGTATTTGCATTTTTACTTGATTCAAATTTAGCTTTTTATAGGGAGTAATAAGATATTAAAAACCATTTGGTCATCTCTAAGATTTACCTTTCCTGGTAATAATAGTTTATTTTCAACATTCAGGACTGTCCTAGGGTCTAACCAATTGATTCCAAGGAAAAAAAATCACAACCATTACTATAGATCAAACAGAAGAATAATACTTTGAAAGAAAGACCAACTTGGATTACCTTATACCAATGTTATTAAACTTTGGTGGGACTCGGTAAAGGTACCAAGTTAATGGGTTATTGAATTAACCAATGCAGCATTCGGTGAACAAGTTTGACCGCATTATATATTAATATATAATAAATATAGGGTTTTTTTTTCTCATGTTATAGGAATTGATACAATCGTTTTTTAAGTATGTACTCGAGGAAGTACATAATTATAATATTAAAAAAAATTGTAACTATATACTTCCGGAAGTACATAGTTAAATAACTGTTGCTGGTTTTCTTCTAATTATATACTTCTTGGAGTACATAGTTAAAAAATGATTGCAGGAATTGCTGGAATATGAAAAACATATTTCCCATAAATATAATAAGGGTTCCTTTCACTCTCACAAAGATGTGTGACCCACGTGTTTAAAACTTTTTTTCTCCACTCTCTCTTCCATAATTTATCTTTATCTCTCACTTAAAATGACACAACTTTATGTCCTTTAAAATGATACACATTTTAAATGACATAAGTTATGTCATTTTAGGAGAGAGATAGACACAGAAAAACGAAAATTATGGGAGAGAGAAAGTGAATGGTTTTTTTTGAATTTAAAATTCAAACTTTCTGTATTTGTATCTCTCTTAAAATGATATAATTTTCTGTCATTTAAAATGACAAACACTTTTCACTGTAATAATAATAGGGGTATTATAGCAAGAAAACTATTTTGGTGTGCTAATTGAACTTTGATGAACTCATCTTATAGATGCATGATTTGATTTCCCTTCTTACAAATG